GTAGTATTATACACAGGTTATTGATGATGAGATTTTTTTATGCTTTTAAAGCTCAAAAATGATGATCGTATTATACATAAGTAAATACAGTAATTATGGATGGATGAGAAGTATATACTGTATGTAACCTAGTACATCTTAAAGTTTTTAACAATAACATGACAGTCATTTCGGCCATTAGGAAAATGTTTTTTTGGGGAGGTCACCTCCCAATAAATGTCCTTATTTTTATTCAATACAATTACTTTTAATAGTTAAGTACAAAATATATCAGATATGTTAAGATTTTAAGGTACTTTATACAACACTGTAAGATCCAGAGTTGTAAAGTAACTAAATACAAAATACTTTGTCATTGTACTAAAGTAGAATTTTTGGGCATGTGTACTTTACTTGAGTAATTATTTTTCAGCCTACTTTTTACTTCTACTGCTTACATTTTCACACAGTTATCCGTACTTTCTACTCCTTACATTTTAAAAAAAGGCAAGAAGTTGAAAATTGTTATTTTTATTTCATTTTTGTCTGTTTTCGTTCCAGCTTGTAAAAAATAAATACTATCCATATAAATTGTACTTCCTAGATTCCTAGATAGAGTGAATTTAATGAATGAGAAGTATAAATATATAAATTTCTGATACTGTATTAGCTTGTACACAAACAAATCATATATATACTGTACATATATATATATATATATAATGTCATTACGTAAAATCTAACTGCTCCTTTTAAATCAATACTTTTACTCTTAATACTTAAGTTAAAAAAAATCAGATTCTTTAAGACTTTTACTCAAGTAATATTCCTAAAGGAGACTTTAACTTAAAGTAATTCTTTGGTAAGATACTTGTACTTTTACTCAAGTATCACTTTGTGGTACTTTATAAAACACTAAGATCGTGGTTTCTGTGTTTTTCTTAAGGAATTTTAGTTTCGTTATTAGTAAAACTCTACTTCATAAAATGAAACAAAGCGTTGAGCCTGAGAATCAGGGAGCAGCATGTCGCTGCCCTTTAACCGTCACGTCCCTGAAAGGTCTTTCAACTCACAACTTCCCATTTCCTCTCATTTATTTTATTAAAATCCAACAGGCTGATGAAACGGGCCCCCGTCCAAGTATGTGTTTATTTAGGAGGGCCGATGAGAAGAAGATGCTCAGTCGAGAGCCCGTCATCTGGCATTTTTCCTCTCAGGCTGCGTTTTCCCACCGTCACCAGAAAAAGACCGAGTGTCCCCTCACTGGAAGTCCCAGTGACCGAGTGAGGAGTTCAGGAAAAACTCTGGCAGCAGTTAGTTACCACTTCATCAAGCAGATGTGGTTATTTTTTATTTATTTATTGTATAAATTAGATAAAAAACAGTAGGTTTTGTGAAAATAAGAACAATAAATATCTTACCTGTTGTAGATCCCCAGAGAGTGAGAACCCAACTATTAATTTAACAGTTCAACGTGAGTTTAAATATGTAAAAATGTCTTTTTTTTTCTGTTTTAGGTCAAAGCAAGCTGTTCAAAAACCAAATGAGGCACTAAAGCAGCCTTTCACCCCTTTGGACAACCTGATCAACGGTGGGGAGGGTTCGCCCAGGATGGCTTTCAGAAAGCAAATCTATGACTCAAACAGGACTGAAGCCGGGACCAAGCTGCCMACGTCTAACGGAGGCAACATAAAGGACAAGATTTCTCTGTGGGAGAACAAAGAATCCACACTTACACCTCTCACGTCCAGTTTGAGCCGGAGCGGCAGCGCTAAACGGACAGAAAGCGACAAAACGGCGGACAAGCAGAGCGCCGACAGCTGTAGGAGAGGCTGCACAGAGAAACAGGATGTCGGGAAAGAAAACTTGGAGAAGCCCGAGGTTTCGAGGCCTTGTTCACCTGCAGAACCTGGGAGGCGTGCAGCGAATGAGAAATCTAAGGATGACCGGAGGCCCTGTTCTCCTCCAGCGAGTGAGAAGCAGCAGGTCGGGAGCAAAAGCCCGAAGAGAGCGACAGAACCGGCCGACGTCGAGAAGAGAGCAGTGTTCACGCTTTTTAGGAAGCTGGAGACGTTGGGCGAGAACCACCGGAAGGCGCCCGCGGAGCTCGGAAACTACTTCTGTCCGCCGGGCAAGGACAAGAAGGGCGAGCCCAAGAAAGAGGAATCTGAAAGCCCGACTAGGGTTTCTGGGACACAAGAAGGAAAAGAGCATCAGGAGAAAGTTTACACAGAACCAGGCACGCCCCCGATCAACCCAGTCCCCAAACCACAACGTACCTTCCAGCACCCCGTGGGAATAAAGCAGAACGGGGAGAGAAGAGGGCAACGAAACCTCCCGCCGCTGCCGTCCGTCTCCTCAAAAACATCCTCGAAGCCGCCCTCAGGGTTCTACAGGAGACCCAGACCCGACAGGGTCCTGGACAGCAGGTAGGGACGCAACGCTCAGGAGAACCCACAACATCATACTTCCATAAAACATCTTAAAAGCTACATTTAAAATAATAATTATTTATTTCTGCTCACTTTGACAGAAGGTTGTTTGACTTTGAAGAGCTTGGAGGGTCAAGCAGCCCCCTCTTTACCCGCTCCCTGTCTCAGGAACATCATTATGAAGACATACTGGGTCAGGCACACTCATCCTTTGTCATTTTAAATTTTTTGAAAGATTATGAACAGTTAATATCTTACCTGTTGTGCATGAAAAGACAGACAACTTTGGGAGCATTTGGAGACTAAACATAAACCATTTGCATCTTTTTTTTCTGACCAAGCTTTTCTTACTTCTGTTGCAGACAACTTGAACCCYCTTTTTAAATTTTGTTTCTTAGACTTAATTAGATCTGTATTTTAATACAATTTTTTGGAATAGGAGACCAATTTTTTTTATTTTTATCTTTATCAACGGAGCCTGAGTTTAAATTATAAGACATTAGGGTTGGGCTATAATATAACTAACCTAATTTAATTAATTAATTTAATTACCTAATTTCCCTCTGGGATCAATAAAGTATTTTTGAATTGAATTGAATTGAACTGTATAATATATACCGTGATAAACACGTCCGATACAATGTTGACAACTTTACTGAACTCCGATGGATGTAGGCAGAATAAAGATTTTAGCCGCTTGACCTCACAGCCCAGCTAAGCAAGGCTGGTGGCATCAGCTCACTATGTTTCGCCACCATAACTGCTGAAAAATAAAATAAAAAATGACGTGGAGCGAAAGGAAAAAATGAACGCAACAGCTCAAGAGGAAATTGTGGATAAAAGAGGAAAGGTCGCGTCACCAGCCCTTGTTTCACAAATAAATACATAATCAATAATTTTCAAATTTTCAGCCATATCTCCCAGCCCTATAAGACATAAAACATCCACAAAGACAGCCTCAAAGTTCCCAGATCTAAAAAAAAAAAACATCTTTTTGAACAAATTATTAAATTTGATGTCTAAATAACCTGTAAATATGAGGGCAGCTGCCAAGTTGGGTACAAAATGTGCAGATATGGGTACAATGTGGGCAACAAATTAACAAGCACGGCCAAGATTACAGTTTTGCAAGTCATGGATACAAAAACAGGGCAGGATTTTCAAACAATGGCACCAAAATATCCAGAAATCATCTAGACTGCAGCTGAAAGTTGGCCCGTTTTCCAAATTTCTTGCAATTTTAGAGTTTAGTAAAAAGTTTGAAAATGTTCCATAAACATGAGATTTTCTTTTTTCTTTTTTTTTTTGCAGACTCGTCCAATGAGAACCCATACGAGGACATAGAGCTGGACAGTCAGTGCTCACAGCAGTCGGTACCATCATCTCCTGGTGCCGATACCACCAAGGTCCGTAAAAAAAAAAAACAGCTAAACATGAAGAAGCAAAAACTGGAGTCAGCTGATCATTAACGATTTGTGTTTCTTTTCCCTGCYGGCAGGGATCAAGACCGGGTTTCTTCAGGCAGAATTCAGGCCGGAGCTTTAAGCTACTGGACTCAAAGAGAACCAACCCAAGTACAGGAAGTGGCGTCTCRTCCCCGGCCCAGCTCAGCCCTCCATCCACCCCCAACGAGCCCGAGCACAACCCATGGCTCCCTGGAGACCCCTACAGCCGCACCTGCCGCAGGATCCCAACGGTCTCTTTACACACAGAATATTCACGTTTTATTTAATCATTTCCTTCTTTAAACTGAGCGATATCTTGAACAGGCTGTGCTGAGGATCAACAGCATATTTGAGGCTCGGACCAGGAAAAAGCTTCTGAGGAGGAGCTATCATTACACAGAGACAAGTTCAGGAAGAGGTCGTAATTTTGACACGATCTTAGGAATTGAAATTGTATTTAATATCTAATAAGTCAAAGGTTCAAATATGGATTTGTGGCTTTCATTCACAGTAACAGATGATTACAGCGATTCTGAGAGTGAAGCAGAAGACAGATTTAAAGGTAAATGTCAGGGGTGGTTCTAGAGGCGGGGCCACAGGGGCATTGGCCCCAGCTGAAATCTGATTGGCCCCCTGAAKTGCCCCTGTCCTGTCACTCATCTGTCCTTTACCTGGGAGTGATGATGGTGGATGCAGTTCCATGCTCAAACACTAGTTGYGCTAATGAGTCAAATAGTAAAGTCCAGAATGAATCAAGCTTACAGAACTCTTCTTCTCTTCTTAAGAAAATTTGAACAATCCTGCAAAAAAGTCTTTCAACTGACAAATGCAAGGATTTTCTCACATGTTGTGTGTTTAAGAATATTTTATCCATGTAGAGTAAAATATATGAAAAACTGGTGAGGAGAATTGACTGTGCAAGCTTTTTTTGGTACCACTTTACAATAAGGCTCCCCTTATAGATGGCTTATAATGAGTTTATAGATAGGTTATTAATTAATCTCTAAACACTTTATGAATCATTAATAAATGTTTATTATGCAATAATTAATGACGAGAAAGACAAAACTGTGTAGTTTCTTATCAAATAATG